GATCCTCCCCGTGCCACTCAACGCAAGGGCCAGGGACAGTCAGTCGCAACCCTAGTTTTGAAGGACTCCACGGCGTATTCGCCGGAAAAGTTCACGGTCACCCAGGCGCCCCCAGTGGAGCCGTCAGAAATACTAAAAACACCAGCAGGGAGGCAGAGACTTACATGATTTGAAGGTAAAAAGGTTGTTGCGTCGAGCAGGGAGAATGTAGATGTCAAGCAGAAAGGTTGGGGGTGTCGAGCAGACAAACCAGAAGTCGGACAACAGCAGAAAGAATGAATGAACGAAAAGACGACCTAGATCTGCGTATATATATGCCCTAGCACAGGAAACTAAGCGTCGCTAGACACTCAAGTACCTAGCCCGTAGCCTCCACAGGAGGATACATGGCGACCCTCTGCCTTCCCTGCGTCTCTTCAGATTCCCCTCCTCGACCGCATGCTCCCCGTACATCATAGATTCGCCTGACCGGTATAGTCGCGGCATGCCCAACATAGCGGCGTGCCCGACTCCTACTGCACCTTAAGTCATAGTTCGCTTGACTGCAAGCAACGACTTGGGGGGCTATTATTCTGGACTGGACGACGCCTGACCCATAGTCGAGCAGACCCAAGCCCCATCGGGTTGGGAGGCCTAATAAGACCTCATCGACCAACAGTAGAAGGTCCGTCAGGTAGAACATCTTCTCTCGTCGGACACAGACCAATCACCGTCGGGCAAGACCTTCATAACTGTCCAACCAACCTTCTTCTGCCCAACGGTCGGGCAAGGCCCAGCCAGCCCGGGAAGCCCCTCGGGCCTCCCCCACGTTCTCTACGTGTCGCCTACGCGGAGACACGTCATCAAGTAACTATCTGTGTCCTGATGATTCGGTCCTCCACCTCCCGGATAGCACGGAACAATTACACTAGGGCGAAGACCACGTGTTGGTCTTCACGACGCCACATCAGCCCTAACAGTTACCAATGTTGGGCCTGGCAGCCCAACCCAACACATGGTAACCGTTGGCCCTGCGCTGGGGGATCATTATAAATACCCTCTTCCACTAGAGGGTCAGGTAATCTAATTCTCACTCCTTTTCTTTGTACTTGTTATCACTTTGCTCGTCGCTTACTTTGGCATCAGAGTGTGTTTTAGGTACACTCCCCTCTGTCCGTCAAGTCAACCGTTCGACAGCTTAAACGCGTGGCAGCCCAGCGATCTCTCTGATCAGGTACGATTATATATATATATATATATATATATATATATATATATATATATATATATATATATATATATATATATATATATATATATATATATATATATATATATATATATATATATATATATATATATATATATATATATATACACACACACACACACACACACGCGCACACACACACACACACATATATATGTATGTATGTATGTATACATACATACATACATACACACACACACATACATACATACATATATATATATATATATATATATATATATATATATATATATATATATATATATATATATATATATATATATATATATATATATATATATGTATATATATGTATATGTTATTAATTTACATGAGATGTGTTAAGATTTTGTGATTGATGAGTCATGAGTTGTGACGAGTAGTATTGTTGTTGATGAGCAAATGTTGATTTCTGAGTTTGAATCGCCGTGAGAATGAAAATATAAAAAGTCTAAAACTATGGCAGCGAGAAATATCGCATATAGGCATAGGAGGAGATTAATCGTCTTGTTTCATGCGTAACTTGAGTTTCGTAAATTCGTTTTAGATGCAGTCAATTGCTTTAGAAAGCTAACGCGGTAATATTTCTGTCAAAGTGGGGGAAAATACATATCTTTATTATGATGTTAATTTTATGATGGATGCCTCATGAAGAGGAACAATGTTAAGTTATGCTAAGATGTTTTGGTTCAGTGGAACCATTGATGTGACTTTGCATTAGCGATGATTTATGCTGAGTTTTGGGTTCGAGAGGAATCAGTGACGAGTATTGAAGTTGGAGGTTGAGATGAGTATTTCATATATTTGTTTAACATTCATGCATCATGTATATAAGAGATAGGTAAGACTTTGATCTAGTGACGAGTTAGGACTTTAGTCTAGTGACGAGTAAAACTTCGGTCCAGTAACGAGTATGACTTCGATCCAGTGATGAGCTGGATATTTATGTAACACACGTCTGAATATTCAAATTTTAATACCAAATACATTGAAATAGAGATGTATATATTGCATACACATTCCTGATTCTTGGATAAGGCGATAAAGATCTTTGCCTAGGGCCTCTAATATTTCTTATGTTATAAACCTCCAATTTTTATGATTTTTTTATTTAAAAACAATTAGTATTATGTTTTATTGTTTGTATAACTTAAACATATTTTAGTGTAGAAGGTGAAATAAATGCGCCTTTTATATTTTTGATTACTATGCAACTATATTTAATTACGTGCCATTTGGATAATAATGTGCTTATCAATTTCTTTAATTTGTTTTAATGACCATGTGAATTTTATATGTAGTATTTTCTTTTCGTGTTTAGTAAAAATATTTTAAAAATTGTATAGTAAATGTGAATTTAATTATGTTGTTTTATTTCTATTTTAAAAATTGTGTCTCTATTTAATAATCTTTTACTGTGGAAGAACAGTCACTCATTAATATATGTAATAATTAGTTTTAATATTTTTTTAATTTAATATTAATTTAGAATTTTTTTATTTGTGTCTATTGTGACACATTTATTAATTTTTGTTTTAGAGTGGTATTTGCCTTTGGTGCAAATATTCAGGGAGAGATTGAGGAGTTTTATCTAATGCTTGTAGTGGAGGATGACATAGTTGACCTTCTTCGTTGTTTATCTTGTTGCGTTGTTTAATTTTTCGCGTGTTGCTCTGATAGTGTAACATTGAGTTGAAAATACTTTTTTTTTTCTGCGAGATGTTGAATTAACTATTTTATGATTAATTGAAGTTGATTTTCTAAATATGAGACATATTGAAGTGATATGCTGAGAAATGTGACACCTTAGTATTATTTTATTCCAAATGTTTTATAAATTATGTATTGGGATTTAGGGTGTTACAAATGGTGGCAGAGTGGAGATATTAGAACCCAACTCGAATCCGCTTTAGACAGGTTTGTATTTTACTTCTCCATCTCTGATGTGGATTGGGGCATAGAACGATGATTATTTTGCAATTCAAGTTTGAGTTTGAGGGAGGTAAAAACCGTCCTCGCCCACCCTATTGCCATGCCTACAAATCACTACCTTTCGGTACATGATCGACATTTGAGTTGCCTCTGCTTTCACTAGCCGACACAAATATATTTAAGAACTCAGACCCTAAACTAACTTTTAGGCTTTTTTCCTCATAATTTGTTAACGGATAAATTAATTGGGAGTTTGACATGAGATAGATCTGATGACCCCTATCCCTAGAGGAAAACTCACTCACAATAAAATTGCCAGAAATTAAACAAAATAAAGACATATCATGTATAAAAAATAAAGTAGACACAATTGCGATAAAATGAAAGTAACTTGAATTGTAGATAAAAGTTTGAATTGATAAAAGGAACCCAAAGAATACAAATAAGTTGCAGAGAAATTACAATGGAGAAAAAGCTGAAACTGAAAATAATGTAAAGAGTCTATCAAAAATGTCACACATTTAATCATAAAAAATGACCATTATTTACTCATAATTTCGAGCACTAACATAAATGGTCACTTATTACTGAAAAGAGGCATTTTTGAAAGTTCAGAAGTCAGAATGCCAAAGTCTGCAACAAAAACTAGGTGTGACACGGGAAGTGTTGTCTGACACAGAGGGCGGGTGGGTTCGTGTTCAGGAACGCGATTGTGTCAGACAACATGACCAGACCGTGTTCTCCTCAGGAATTTACTATGGGGGTGCCTTCAAGGGTCAAGACGACTCATGTTAGCTGACACGACCAAACTGTGTTGGAAACAAGTCTTTTGTACTGGGATGACTTGCAAACACATGATTTTTTTTGTCTTTTTCGATTCAATCTTACCAGACACTTTCTTATTAGCCGAAATCAATAAAAAAAAAACACATAAAAGATACAAAATGATGAAAACACACAAAAAAGGTGAAAAGAAAATAAGTTAAAAATATGATGCAATAATCAATTATCACCTCCATGCGTGATCTAACTAATACGATTTCATCGTTTGAATTTGAAAATAATAGATGAAATAGAATGGTAAATGATGGAACCCATTCCCTCCATTTCCATCCAAATCACTATTTTTTTTTTCCATCAAATCTGGAGTATATGTCATCTAATAAGACATTTTAAATAAAATATTTAAACGATGGAGTGTGATTTATATTGCATTCTATTCCGATCGATTCTACTCCGTCATATTCCATTTTGCTCCACTCTATCATGTTTCATCAATCTAAACATAACCTAACATCACGATAAATTTTAAGGTAGAAGAAAAATATGATTTGAATACTAATCATAGAAACAAAATTTAATATAAATGATGAATTTAAAAAATTAATTAAAAAAAAAATTCTTACATTATTGAACGTAATTTTTGTTTATACTAAAATTTAAAACCCTCCGGTAATAAAACAATTAAAACCCTACACTGTATAAAAAAACAAGTCAGAGTCACTGAACTCATTTCGCCGGAAAACGAATCGGAGTTCCTCGTCGGCCACCACCAACATCAACCAACTTCGTCCAGGTATTCTTCTTTCTCTCTATTTCTCGGATTCTCCTTCTCTCCTGCAGCGCGCAAGGATGCGATTCCAACGCGATTTGCGGCCGCAGTAACATCCACTCCGCTCCGCATCATCGCGATTCCTCGATTTTTTTCCGCATATTTTCCCGAATAATTTATTTTTGAAGAAATGAAATTGTTGGCTTCGATATTGATACTCGATTGTTTTTTGTTTTTACAGAGATAAAATTGGTGATTTGAATTCGAATGGGTTATCTTCAATTTGGAAGACATTGCGTTAGGCAGATTATTAGAAGTAAAGATGCTGTTAACGATAGTGTTGTGGTGAATCCACTCTTGTATGCATCTCAAGGTCTTCGATACAACAGGAAGCTCCAAGTCATTCTTACAACTGTAATTATCTATCTTAGGGTTTTAAATAACGGTCGCGGTTACAACTATATTTGATTTGATTCAAGTTTATGATATTTATAATGTTCAATTTATAGGATATAGATAAGCTCGGAAAGGCTGGTGAAACTGTCAAAGTTGCCCCGGGATATTTTCGCAACCACCTAATGCCCAAGCTCCTTGCTGTTCCTAACATTGATAAGTTTGCTTATCTCCTCACTGAGCAGCGCAAGGTTTTCTTTTGCTCCCTTGTGTCTGTTTTTGGTACTTATCTATAATATTAGCTGGTCAATGTCGGTCATGTAAATCCTTCTCTTTGCATTTTACAATCTCCTGGAGCAATGTTAAGTAGCATCGCTATAGTATAGTAGAATTTGAACACATAACTATTTTTACACGGTAAGCTATTTAGTACAAAATGCCATTTCATGATCTGGATTGATAACATTGTTCCGGAGTAACTTTTGAAATTTTCGATATGAATCTTGATAATGCTGTCAGATATCTGATCTGAAGATAACATCCTTTCCCTGTCTTTCTTTGTTTATGTGAAACCTCTGTTAACATTATGTTTCTATGGGCATATAAACATTGTCATACCCACATAGCCCGTCTTTTTAACAAGTTACTCCGCCTTCATCAGTTGCTAGAATTATGTTTTAAATGTTTCAGATTTATCAACCTACTGAAGAAGTGAAACACGAGGATGTTGTTCTTGTTAGCGAGACGAAGGAAGATCTGATGAAAGAGTATGAAAAGGCGGCACAGATCCTTGATAAAGCTAAGCTGGTTAGTACTTTTTCTCTTCAAAGCCTTTCAAGTCTGTTTGATTGAGATGATTTCTGCGGTCCTCTCTTTGGGAATTATTATCCTTAGTTAGACAATTGCTTTATATTTATTGCCATTTGTTGAGAAATTTGCCATACCTAAAGTACAAATGAACTTTTCTGAAACTGGACTTGTCATTGAACTGGTAAATGTATTATAGTTCATTGTTTGATTGTGGTTGAACTGGTAAATACATATTTTGAATATTATATAATACATTGCATAATAAGCTAACATTAAACTATAAGAAATACAAGACGTAAGAAATAATTTTTAATTAACTTAAAATAGCCAAATCGTATTTGTCTTGTAAGATATAAAATCAATAAGGCTAAATTAATAACTCATTGGTGAATCTTATGGGCCAACTTCTATCATGTTATTTATTTTGGCTTGAATTATAAATGTTTAAACACATAAAAAAAACTTTGTTCAAACTTGCTCTTCATCGTTAGTTTTGGATTTGTTCAACTAACCTCCATTGGTTTCCAGCTGACAGTTTAGATTAAGCGGCCAGGCTACTTAACATATTAATCATGGTTGTCAAAATCACGATTTAAATTTTAAAATCATAAGATTTTACAATCTCACTCACCTCTAACGATCCAGATCTCAAGTAAAATAGTGTGTTATAGCTAAATTATGAGAAAAAAAAAATCATAAAACCATTGATTATGAGCGATCTTGGCCAGTTCCAACCATGATGGCCGTTTGACAACCTCGTTATTAATGACTTTTCTTCTTGGCTCGGCTGGTTTGGATTTTTAATATATGGTTGTGATGATGATACTCGCAAATGACTGTAACTGTTTAAGTTATAGGATAAAAAGTTCACTTGATAATTTGACAGTCTTTCATGTTAAAACTCAATAGTTAATGTGATAATACTCTTATAGGTTTTGCGGAGGTTAATTGATGTTCAAAAAGCAAAGTCGCGTGAATCAAAAGAAGACCCCTTGGAGTTACGTATACCAGTGTCAAAAAAAGCTCTTGTGGCTGAGGTAATATTCGTTATTCGTTATTTAATTGTTTTCTTGATAGCCACTAAGTAACAAGTTACGAATTGATTCTATTAAAAAATGCAACTAATATTAATGCCTCAGAGAGACTTTCTTGGCCTTCTGACCCTCTTTGATTTGTTGATGCATTTAAGACCCACAAATTCCCAACTTCTTAGAAATCCTACTTTTATTTTGGTACAAACTTCACTTCATCACAGTATTGGAGCCCTTTGGAAAGAATTACAAGTTTGGAAAAGAAACAAGAAACCAGATAAGAAATTTCTCAATCCTAGAACTGAGAGCCAAACTGAAGTGGCCAAATACACTCATAGTCTAGTCCTAATAAATTTTTCTGCGCTCCCTCTCTCCTTTCGCTTTCTATATCAGTCTCTCACTTTTACTAATTATGTAATAATTAACTCTTCCTTTCATGTACTCCTTCTTCCTTCTGCTGTGAACCTGACAGCAAATTCTAAGTCATGTATCTTTCTTGCTGTTGTTAGGCGAAACATGATCTTACACTTTTAGATGATCATAGTGTCTCATTCTCTTGTGACATGCGAGTGGTTTTCTTATTTCATAAGTGGTTTCCTTGTCCAATCAGATTTAGGATTTTAATTATTAGTTTTTTTACGGATGGATATTGAATAATTTTATAAAATTATAAATAGGAGCTGTTGTTTGGTTTTCTATGTCACATCAAAACTATACCAGTTTCAGATTATTCAGTCTCATGATTTTTAAAATTCATTCGACACACTTTATATATGGGGATCAACTGCAATATTCCTGTTAAATATCAGACGAAATTCTTCCTTGTTAGTAAATCCTGGAAGAACTTCATTTGATTTTTCTCAAATTGTATAGGGTTGCTTATGTAAATAGAAAAGAGCCGTGTTAAAGAGAAAAGAATGGAAAGAACTTCTGATATGAGTAGTATAATTTCTATAACAATAAATAACCCTTGCTCTGTATTGCATGTACAGATGATTGTTTTCTCGCATATGCTCTCTCTGCTACACAATATCATATTAAAGAAAATTATATCTGATTTGAGATGCTAGTTTCTGTTGCAAATCTTATATGATAAGAAAATTGGTTTCCTTTTGAAGAAAATTAGAATACGTTTTCATCTTATTATTTTTTTGTGATATTTCTCTTGTTCTATCACTTACTTTTCTGGTTTTGACTTTTGTCTTGCCATTTTTAGGTGGCAAGACAACTCTGTGTGAACATCACACCTGAAAATCTGCATCTTCCATCACCTTTGTCGACCATTGGAGAATATGAGGTGCCACTACGATTACCAAGGTCCATCCCTTTGCCAGAGGGCAAGCTTAACTGGACTTTGAAAGTAAAAGTCCGAAGTAAATAAGTTAGTTATTTTGTTGAATCCAAGTTCAAGCGGGTTGTGGTTTATACTGATAAATTCAACTTGAGGATTGTAGAAGTTCAACCTTTTTTCTAAACATATTCTTTGTCCTTAGCTAAAATCTCATATGGTGTTGTTAGAAATCTTCTTCTATCTTGCAGATGATTATGGTCATATGTATTACCATTCAAACCGGTTTTAAACATAATAACCATCTTCCTATATTTTATCCAATTGGGACTTTGGTGGACTAATTTGTGACTTTCCAATTTGGAGGGAGTAATACACTTCTCAATTCAATTTCATGTGTTATTTTTTAGTAGGTCACAACTTGTTATATAGTTTGAAAAGATGATCTATGAGTGATTCTTTTTTTGAGCCATAGAAAACTTCAATCTTTTGAAATATGTGCAAGCACTTTGTTTCAACAAGTTCTAGACTTAGATTCACGCAAAACTCTTTCAAACAAATTGCACATTGTTCTAAAGACTAATTAGTAATTGATTAGTTACTCATTCTAATTGATCATATTAGTTAACATAATCAAAGTTAATACACATTTCTAATTGATTACTATTTAATTTATTTAAGGTTTAATATCATTTTCCGTTTTTTCCGTTGTGTCTTTTCAAAGTTCATATTGTTCCCTAAATGTTATTTTGGTCCATCAACTTTATTAACTATTTCAACGGTCTTTTCTATCCATTTTTTTAATTCGGCTTTAAATATTTGAGAATTTTTATTAATGTACTTATGTGTTTTTAACATCATGTAAAAATATTAAAACTTCTTCAGATTCTGAAGATATATTTTTGGACACATCTAATTCTGATTTATCGTTAAAATATTTTGGAGATGCATATTCGAAACGTTTTGGAGTTTAAATCAATCCTTCTCCTTTTTCATTTATGATATTTCTCAAAATCTCTTCAAACTCTCTTAATTTTTTTTCATAACCAAGTCCAAAATCAAACAACCAAGATCAAAGAAACTTCAATCAACATCAGAAACATCATCCAACATTGAAGTAAAGTGAAAAATTATATATTTTTTTGATGTTTTGAATAGTTTTTGGATTTTTGTATAAATGAGTAGAAATTGATGATTAAGATAATAAGTGAGTAGAAATTGGATGATTGATAGTTTAAACATAGTGTAAAACACGATAGCTGACTGAAAATGATGATCAATGCAATATTTTTTGTGTTTCCATGTTTGCATTACCGCCATTAACGCACCTGCTGAGTTGCACAAAATTTTGGAGATGCATCTCCAGAATTTTTCAACGCTTTATTTTTTCCAGCAATCAGAGATGCATCTCCAGAATTTTCTCAGTATTTTTATTTATTTTCTTGCTTGTGGTGTTGTTTGCTTGCACTAGTTGTCTGCCTTACTTTAACTTACACACATAATGGCTGATAGACACGATAGATTCAGGCACAGAAGGGTTGCACAACACGTGTCAGTGCGGCGAGAAGAGTCAACAAGTTTCGGAGGCTCTTGGTCCCTCTGGCCATGCAGAGCCATATACTTCTAGGGATCATGCTTCTCCATCTTATTCATCTCGTAGGAAAGGGGTTTCACCTACCGACGCATCACTCCATCCATCTTCCTACAGGCGCCTGAGCTACTTGAGTCACTAGTGGTACTAGAGGCACCACTGCCACCTATTACTGCTGATACTGTAGGTGCTTCTCATCCAATGCCATCTCCTAGTGCTGATGCTGCTGAGTCAGTGCCACCTCCAGAGGGTGAGGCTGCTACAGATGCTAAGCCAAATGCATTTTGAGAAGGCCATGTAGATTTGGTAGTACTTCCTATGTACCCAGACCATATTGGCAGACATATCTAGGACGGAGAGGTACCATTAGTTGGATTTATTATTTTTAATTTACGTTTATTTTAATTGACAAGTTTCTGACATTGATTTTTATTTTTTTCAGGACCGTGATCCGCTGAAGTTTATTAACCACAGGCAGAAGGTTACTGGATTCCTTTAGCCAAATGATGATTGGTTTTAGACAGCTTTGTCCTTATCTGGCCTGAAGAACTTGTGCATGATCGGTTATATTATGGTCAACCACGAGATGCTTAATGCATTTGTGGAGAGATGGAACTCGGAGACCTTGTTATTTCATCTCCCGCTTAATGAGATGTCTATCGCACTTAACGATGTCTTGTGTTTGCTATATCTTTCGATCAGGGAGAGACTTCTAAATCATGGGAGGATTACCAAAGATGATGCACTCGAGATGATGGTAGAATATATTGGGGCTGACCTAGCGAAGGCAAAGAAGGAGTTGGATAAAAACAGGGGTGTTCATGCTAGGCTTGAGTACCTGAAAAAGGTATATACAAATGAGCTCCTGAGAGCACAATATACTACAGATGACGATGAGCAGGTGGGCTCCACATATCACATGCTATGAGAGCACACCTGCTATATTTGGTTGGCCCTGCTATTTTTATGGACAAAAGTGTCACTTATACAGATCTCTACTTCGAAGATTTCGAGCGGATTCATGAGTAAAACTAGTGGGCCTCTTGTTTGGTTTACCTATACTCGAAGTTATCAGAGGGCTGTAGGTGGAAGACGAAGCAGGTCACAAGCAACATCGCACTACCGACGCTAATATTTATTGGTCTTTTAATGCTTTTGTGTCATTTTCATTTCATCTTTGCAAAACCATTTCTGATAATTCACGTGTTCCAAACTTTTCAGACTTGGATTCTCCAGCACTTCCTACGAATCTTCGGCTAGGCGAGTGTACCGACTTACTCTGAGGATTTGCTTTGTGCTACTGCTTTTGCCCCGCTCAGAAGAAACCAGGAGACTTGGTCGTTCAGAGTGTATCTTAAGCGTTTGGTTGCCAAGGACATGCACTTCAGGAGCTATGTCGATCACCTCGAGACGCGACTATTTGATGAGATAATGCTATACTCTGGATGGTTGGCTTACAGATCAAGTCTGACTGCTCATCATCTGCCCGAGCGCGTCATGCAGCAGTTTGACTACACTCAGACCATTCTCAAACACCCTGTTGTCTCTGCTCTTCCTGCTTTGACACGTAGACAAATGGATGACATGTTTGATGATTAGGAGAGTCATCTGGTACCGAAGAAGGCAATGAGTACCATAGTTGTGAGCGACTAGAGCTACGTCGACGAATATATTAGATGGTTCTTCAAGGTGTCACATATGTACATGTTGCATGTTTCTCCATGAGACCCCGTTGAGGTCAACTCATCAAGAGATACTAAAAGAGGAACAACCACAGTTAAATCATGCTGAGGATGTCTTGCATATATGTCGTCGCATAATGGAGATTGCGCATGCAGGCAGTAAGAGATGTATCTTTCTTGATGGGTCTGATGTGAGGCAGGTCCTTGATGCCATCATGATGGAGGCACATGGAGCATTAATATATTGGAGATAGCGCTGGAGGACAAGGGGGATTGATGGTCGAGGAGTCCGAGGAGGTAGAGGAGGCAGAAGATCCAAGGGAGGCAGAAGAGATGTAGTCTGACATATACAATAATGCATTAATATATAGTAGTAATACTATGAATTGTTAGGAGCGGAAAAACGAGCTGCCCGCCCAATATTAAGCCCGCCAAAAAACGGGACGGGGCAAACTAGCCCGCCAAATGAAATTGGGCTAAAAATCTAGTCTGCCCCGCCAAGGTGGCGGCGGGCTTGCCCGCCTATTATTTTTATTTTTTATTTTCTTAATATATTAATAAGCTTATTTTTACATTTCGATTATATTTTCACTTATTTTTAAAATAACTTTTAATAAAATATTTTTATAAAATTTTACTTAAAAAAATATTGAATATATTCACAAATAATTGTATAAAATAGAATCATCAACAAGTATTGCAAAATCATAATTCAAGTATTAACCTTCAACCAACCAAAATAAATATTTTGGTTGCTTGATAACTAGATTAACGGGCCAACTCGCCCTTTTTTAGACGGACTTAAGGCGGGGCAGGTTTAAAACGGGGCGGGCTGAGCGGGCAGGCGAACCCAAAATCCCAACCCAACCCGCCATTTTTTAGTGGGCGCACGGGTCAACCCGGCGGTCCACGACCCTTGCCACCCCTATGGATTGTATTTTATTTTGACATCATGCTACTTTATCGTTGTTCTCGACTTTTTTGACATTTATTAGTCTTTTATTTTTATATGACATTTTTGGACCATCTGAATTTATGTATGTCATTTTTTTTATATCAATTGTATGGTTTAAATGTCATCACATAAAATGGTACATAATGCTTATAAAGCTTCATCTGAATACACGTAAACAAAACATAACATGAAACATTATGCTCTGATACGTTACAGAGATGTTCTCCGTAAAATTAACAGAGATGCATCTCCGGTATAATAAACTTGCATAATGACTTTAGAATGTGATGCATGGTGTCACACCCCAATTTTGACCCTGAATCATTGAATCAATACATGCATAACATAAGATGCATCTCATCCTGCATGATACCTAAGATATCATCCAAAATAAATTTTTGAATCTACAGACAAATCGGTCAAACTGTTTCTCAAATGTACGTGAAATTAGCAGGTGAAAAATTTCAAAATCAAGCTTACATATATCAATTTTATTAATCTACGGTTTGCGTAGTTTAGTATGACGTGCTCGTTTTATTTTTTCGACTACTTTTTTAGTTGCATTTTAATCCGCTTGAGTCTTTTAACCAGTTTTTTTATATCAAAATTTGATCAAAACCTGTATGTTTCCAAGAAATTTATTTTGCACTAATTATTTTAGTGTATTCATTTTAATTTTTTGAATATTTTTTTCCCGATTTTTACACATTTTTACCCTTTTTATTATTGTTTTTTCATCAACGTGTTCAAAAAAAAAAACTGTTAGAATTAGCCATGTTTTATTTTGATTTTATTATTATTTAAATTTGTTTGAAATCACCTGTTTTAAATAATTTATGTCCATTTTATCACTGAATGTTGTGCA